CCGACCCCGCTCCCTAAAAAGAAAGAGACCTACCAAACAAACCGCCGAAAGGGATGCTCTTCCTAGTCCAGTTCATGAAAAAGATCTACCTGCAGAGCCGCTGACCCGCTCGAAATGCATGTCGTAACCGGTTTCTGTCCTCGATGCAGTCAACTCTCAATTAGGTCCACGTATCCACCCACGATAGCCGTCGGGCTCGATCGTGACATGCGGTGACGGGCCTCCTCATCCTGACCCTTTGCACTGCGTGAAGCGCCGGAACCCAAGACAGCATGCATCTAAATAAACAACCTTGCTTGTGCTCAAATCCTGTGCGTTTATCCTTGGGTCTCCAGGACATGACCGACTTCACAACCGCTACAAAACCAACAGAAGTCCGGCGGGGCGCTCTGCATCCATGCACCCTGAAGCAACACGAGCCGAACTACCAATGACTGAGGCAAACAACGCACGATCCAGGCAACGTCATTCTCAAGATCCGCCTTTTCAATGGAGCCGAATACGACTTCCACGCACACGAGCTCACTCCCTGCTCGGTTCAGCTGGAAGCAATTTGCAAACAGCTGAAGCTCCAAGGAAAGCCGATACTACTCGACGAGGACGACGACGTGTTCGACAGCGATGGCCTACGGCTCTGCGATATCTGCGACAAAGAACAACGATTCACACTCCTTGTGACATCGCCGCGACCGCCTCAAATTCGACTCGCAGAAACCTTGCACGACGCTGCACCCTGTATCAGCTGAACCGAGGCCCCGGAAACGACTCCGCGCCAAAACTCGCGATGTGATGTCCAGCCGACAAGGAACACCTCGACGGCACCAGACAAAAAGCCAGTCAGACTTCCAGCAAGAGCAAAGAGCAGCAGATATTTGCAACAGCAATGCCGCGGGCTCAGTGAACCCTAAAAATATCGCCGACACACAAAGCCTGTAACATAAGAATGCGCAAATCCCTGCCTAATGCTAAGGAACACGATGTCGCACAACCCACTCAGCCTCAGCCATACATCATACAAAAGATCGGCTACGCAGTCACTCATGCCAGCCCAGGCCACAACGGGACAGCCGTGACTAGCCCAGCACAGTCGCCCCAACTGGCAGAAACAGAAAAAATACGATAACAGTCACCTGCTGTGTGCCAAGCAAGCGTTGCACCACAATCGGGAAGCACCACTGCACAGAGCATCGACCCACATTTCCTCGCCAAGACCATCCCCAAACAACAAAAAGTCACTGTCAAACAAACCCATCCGCCAAGTGCTGACAGACAAAGCCTGTACTGCTGGCTGACAATCAACGAATATCCGCCGCAGTCAAGCAGAACTCGTCTTAATGCTGCACTATGACGCAAGCTAATTCACCTCCAGCAGCCAAAACCCAACAAAACCGTCTATCTGGAGCCTTTGCCGAACACATGCCAAAACCGCCTCTCAACCACTTCTCGACTCGGGCCCTCACACCAGCAAACACAAACACCAAACACCCGCCCCCCGGCCGCGTACGAAACCCAGACCACCACAGACTCGCCAAGGAACTCCGCGACCTGCGCACAAGCCGTTTTCCCCGAACCCACAGCAGCCATAACACAGCTTCAAAACTTATTGCTCCCGCAACCATGGCCTCCACACGCATCGCCCTCCACGACAACATCTGGGCGTTCGAGCAACTTAGCTGCAATAGCATTCACGAGCTGCATGCTAGACAAAACCTGTGCACTGCCTGCGAGCAGGCCAAGCCAGCCATGGACCGAGGTCCAGCAATACAATGCCGAGACCCCCTTGTCAGCTAAATGTTGTCCCAAAGACCAGCACTTGCATGTTTCGAGGCCTTGGTTGCAGAGGCCCAGCTGATTGCGAGCCGGTTGCACCAACCGCCCACCGCCGTCTACAACGAGGCACGGACAGCACCACTCGAAAAACACACACACACACAGAGACAGAGAAATGCTTGCCAGATATGCAGGCCATACACGCAGCGTGCCCATCATCTATGGCGCAGCAAATTCAACTCTACGAGCACAGACTGAAGCCCACACCTCAGCACCACCGCTTTAACAGAAATGATTCGGAGGTGCTCTCATCGAATAAGGATGCTACATCTACTCGCAGACGCACTGGAACTGCCAAGCGTGCTCGCGCCCGAGCCAGTCCCTAACCTGACATGCAACCAATCTCAATCTAGACGGGTCTCAAGGGACCAGCTGACGTGGAAAGAAGCAGAAGAAATCGTGCCACGAACTCAGATCATTATCAGCATTACCCATGAACATGCAACACACCACCACGGCGAAAGCCTCTGTCCCTCAGGTGCATTCGCTCAAACTCCCAAAAGGGACAATAAAGATGCAGCACTGCGGTCTCGACTCCTCTCTGTGACACTGCCGACTACGCCAGATCGCAACACTGCCAGAAAAACAGAAGCACCGGCTGTCATGCCAAGCGTCCCCATCAAGAAAAGAAAGAAAGTTCGAAGACATCTACTGTCCTTGCCGGCGTCAACTTACATGACAGGAACCTAGCGGGGACAACTGGAGCAGCACAAGCCCCATGTCTGACTCGCCGCGCCTACACCTCAAACCGGCACCGAGTGACCGCACGGATTTCGACATCCCTCCACCAACCACAGAAGCAATCCAGCGGCCTGGCAGCTTAGCCGCCGCAGCACATGCTACATTTCCACACCATGTCAGGACAGCTGCTATGGAGCTGCACCCCAGCCGACTGCGCCCCGCCGGCCAGCACCGCCGGACTCGCCGAGACGCTGCGCATCTACTTGCACAAGACGATTGGCATGCCGCGGTACAGAACAAGGTTCCTTATCAACAACAACGTCGTCGACGGCAACCAAGACTGGAGCACCCTCACGGCTTTAGAACGCCAACAAAACCACGTGAACATTAACGTGGTCGTAGCAAGCTACACGGCAGACTACGCTAGTCAAGTCTCGTGGGCAATTCAATCCGAGGACACGACACAGCTGAGTACCCTACTGGAGTCAGCAGCTGACCCCAACCAAACCATCTTGACGCGACTACAACATTATCCCGCTGCATACATGCAGCCCCTGCAGTACTCCGTCTGGCTACAAGCAACGACGATCAGCAGCATGCTTCTCCTCGCAAAGGCACAGGTCAACAATGTCAACAACGACACTCCACTCACAATCGCATGCCGAAACACTGATCTGAGATTGACGCGACTCCTTCTGCGCTCAAGCGCAAGCATCAATCTCGAAAATGCTGCAGGCAACGCACCTTTGCATCTCTCCATACAACACAGCTCGACACCCATGGTGAAACTACTCCTCCGATGTGCAGCCAGCATGGAGCTACGACGAAGTTATGACGGACTCACGGCTCTGGCCGTGGCAGTGTCGCACAGCCGGGCCACGATGGCAAGGCTTCTCCTACAACACAAGGCTATGCTGCACGAGCCCAGAACATCCCGCACCGCTTTACACGTCGCGGCGGCACTGGGCAAGCTGCCATTCATGTCCATGCTTACCAAAGCAGGAGCCGACACCAGTGCCACCGACAACCAAGGAAAGGTTCCAGCTCAGCTCCTGCCGAAGGGCATCAAGTTCAGACAGCGATTCGCTTGCAAACGACTCCTAGACTGCCCACACGACGGCAAACCACCTGCAAAAATGCGACGAAACCATCACACAGAAGATCCTGCAAGCCGCAAGGCCGGCTGAACTCTACAAGTGCAGCGATGTCGGGCCACTGACGTCATTGAAAGCACTTAACCAAATTATGACGACTTCGAGGCTCGCACCGAGAGCAGAGGAGACAAAAAAGGCATAAGCCAATCGGCAGGAAGCCGACAGCTCCATGCGTACGCATTGCCGGTAATCGAAATGAAGCCGAAATGCTCCAACAGCCCCTGAAAAAAAAAAACAGCGAACCTCCCACAATCTGTGCCGCCGCACTGCTCAAGTCTGAGAAACGCCTGAAAACCATTCCGCCAACGCCGCTCATGGCGAGCCACTATGGCAGTGAACTGTCCCGCACAATAGCCAATGTCTTCGTCGATACGGCGCGAGAGCTCCCGGCATACTTCAACATACAGCAACCGCTGCAGCTGAGACACATGCACGCCGAGACGGCAGACAATGTTCGGAAGCTGACAAACCACATGCAGCTGAACCAATCAGACGCGCACTGGCTGCAGTGCCTCGCGTCGGAGCTGCATCCGGAAGCAGGACACGCACTGATCCCAGACCTGTGGGAACTGAAGCGACGAGTGGCTACCGCTGTCGAACGACAACACGAGGAGCCTCGGGAACCGTCGCCCTTCAGGCTACCGCCTGCAGCCCTGGAGGCGCAACCAGAACACGCAGACCTACCACTGCCACTCCCGCAGAGGCGACCAAGATCATCGAGTCCCGGATGGACCAGAGCAACCACCGCAGCCAGGAAGCATCCGTGCACCATTGCACACATGACAGAATACATGTAACTCCATGCTTCCCTGCTGCATAACATAAACACAATGCCTATTCGAGTGCATCAAAGGTCAGGCGCCACGCCGAGAAGCAGGCCAGCACGTGATGCCCGAAGAAGACAATTCAAGGCTATCATCATCAGCGGAATGAGTGGTGCAGGAAAATGCAGAGCGGGATCCACGGCAGAAGCATTGAAAGATGACATCCAACACACCGTCCCCGAACGAGAAACGCCTGTCCCCTCGCCAACAAGCAGCCCACACAAAAACAAGACAAAATAGACATCAAGCAAACCCACCGCCCACTTTCCACCACACACGTACATTCAGCGCCGACGAATTTACAGGCAAACCCCCGACACCACACGATGTTATGTAAAAAAGATATGAAACGATCACCAAAACAACAAGCAGATAGTAGAAACAAAGCAGCATTGCTTGGCCACATTAAGCATCACACTACCTGCACACATGTATGCCAACGATCGTCAATGCTGCAGCAGACTTGCTCAAAACATAAAAAGAAAGACCTCCACCATCCCCGACTCGCTTGATGGCTTTGGTGCACCGCATCGTCTCGGTATTCATGGCGGCATCCGGCAACAAACTGACGGACGTTCAGATGTCAGAAGAAAACAACACCGTGCGAGACATCAAAGAGCAACTCCAAGCGCAGCTTGGGTTCCCGCGCTTTCAGCAACGTGTGCTCCTTGACAAGGAAAGCCAGCAGCTCGCCGACACGTATATCCTGAACCCCGACACCAAGCAAATCTTCGTGGTCCTGGTCGCCTACATCAACATGTCCCGCAGCCTAGAAATCGAACTCCTGCACGCAATCAACTACGGCCCAGCAGAAGACGTAGAAGCCATCCTCCAACGACCACAGCATCCCGACTGGTCGACGAAAGAAATATGTCAATGCTGCGGCCAGAAGCAAATAACTCCTCTAGAACTGGCATCCAAATGCAACAGGACCGACATCGTGCACATGGTGCTAGAAGCCAAGGCAGACGTGGCACGACCGGGCAGCGACCTGTCCTTGCACGAAGCAGCCACCAACAACAACACCGACATAGCAAGCATGCTCGTGCAAGCCAACGCAGACACCAACATCCAGTGCCCGACCACTCGCACCACGCCGCTCATAGAAGCCGCCAGCAGGCACCATTGGGAAGTCATGCACGCACTTCTCGACTCAAGAGCCAGCCCCAACGCATGTGATCCACTCGGCAGTACACCCCTACACATCGCCTGCGGCCAAGATAGCTTGGAACCTGTGCTAGCACTGTTGCAACACGGCGCTAGTATCCACGCCAGAGATGCATTCAACCACACACCTGTAGACGTGGCTATGTGCTCGAGGAACGCGGACATGCTGGTAAGCCTGAGAAGCGAACTCAACGACTACCTCCTCGACTGCAGCGACTCAGACGACTCCGAAGCAACTCTTATCTTCGAGGTCTCCAGTGACACCGAAATGAGCGATGGCACCCAGCAGGCAAATGGGCCATGGTAGCTTGAGGGACTGTACATAGAAGTCGATGCAAGCACCGTACTGCGGATCGACACCCCCCCCCCCCCCCCCCCCNNCACCCCCCCCCCCCCCCGCCCTCAACGACGAAGGAAAAAGGGCGCAACAACTTGCTAACCTCTGCTGGCGGGCTACAACGCACCTTTATGCTAGCCTGCCCACATTTCGCGCACTCCAAGGCCCTTGCAAGCCTGTTTTCTTGCTGCACGCCCCGCCGCTGGGTGCTCAAGCCAAGTCCACGCCTTAGAGGCCAGCACTACCGCCGCTTCCACGACGACTCTGACCTGGCCTAAATGGATCAATGCTACAGGCTTCGAGATCACATCGACAGCAGTGTCAGCCCAGCTCGTCGCCGAAGCCTATCAAGACAACCCGCAAAACTCCGCAGCGGCAACCGTCAACCAACGTGGAGCGATGTACAGCAACTTCGTCAGCAAGTTCGCAATCTAGCTGCCCATGTGGAGACGCTGCAAGATGCAGTCAAGCACCTACAACAACGCATGTCTGAACTGACCGCAAGCCCCCAGAGACAAGACTTGAGAGAAGCCGACCGCCGCCATGACTAGAGGCAGAAGCTCCAGTGAACCAGTGCCTAGCGTGCGAGACGTTCTCCAAACGCCAGATTCAGGAGAAACCCTTTCAGCAGGACTAGAGTACCAGTCCTCGCAAAACAATATTAACAAAAGACGGGTGTGTGTGATCACAAGAACAAGAACTTCATGGGATATGGAGAGCGCACCGCATCCTGACTGTCTTCTGCAAAGTCGGACACGCGTGCCTTCCTGAACAAAATGGACCGTGCAAGAAAAACGGCTAAGGCACTGGCTTGCAGAGACCCCCCTAAAACGAGACCAATAAAGGCTTTCGAATCTGTCTCTGCTAGCCGGCTCGGCTCGACCACGCTAGATGCAAACTCTGTTCACGGCACTCAGCATCCAACTCGCCATGAACGTCCTGTCACCGTTCGAACGATCGCATCTCAGCACTGACGGCCATATCAATCTGGCAAAGCGACTCAAAAACCCAGAAGATGTTCAGCGTTGGACCCGTGCTCTTCGCGAATGGCAAGCGCCCGGCACATGTCTCAGAGTACATTTAGAGCACAACGATCTCACCGAAGAGCAGGCCGCAGACATCCTCAACGCGATTGGCGGAAACGTACAAGCCGTATACCTCCACCATAATCGAATCCGGAGCCTTCAAACATTGACTTCCTTCCTGCACAAGCATTCCCGAACTCTGCTTGAACTGCATCTCAGTCACAACCAGCTGTGCACCCTGGAAGCCGAAGCTTTGCTGCTTCAAATCGTAGAGCCTGCTGTACACTCATCAAACCACGCGCCCTCGAGCATCTGCTCGTGGGTCCGCCTGGAGTTCAACTGCATCGACGTGAAGAAGCTCACCGACCGCTTACCCACAAGCATCACCCGACGGCTGCAAGTCGACGACAATGGCTGCACACCAACGCGCTGCTGCTGTGAAAACCGGCGGCAAAACCAGCGCATCCACACAAAATTCCTGCCGCTGCAATACACCGTCATGCCCGACACCGAAGACATCGACGACCAGTGATGCTGACGGCCAACAGCCATACATCATCAACAGCCACCAAGCCTAACCGGGAAAAAAAAGTCCTGATGCATTCTGTGAATGACAACTATACCTGGAGAAGCTTTGCGCGAGCCGAAATCCTTATCCTAGTGCATTTTATGAAGGAAAACCACCTGGAGAAGCTATGCATTGGAATCCTTATCCTAGTGCATTTTATGAAGGAGAACTACCTGGAGAAGCTCTGCGGTAACTGGAATCCTTATCCTAGTGCATTTTGTGAAGGAGAACCACCTGGAGAAACTATGCGTTGGAATCCTTATCCTAGTGCATTTTACGAAAGAGAACTAGCTGCAAAAACCTTGCGGGACCTGGAATCCGTATCCTAGTGCATTTTATGAAAGAGAACCACCTGGACAAGCCTTGCGGGAGCTGCAATCCTTATCCTAGTGCATTTTATGAAGAAGAACTACGTGGAGAAGCTTTGCAGGAGCTGGAATCCCTATCCTAGTGCATTTTATGAAGCAGAACCACCTGGACAAGCTTTGCGGGAGCTGCAATCCTTATCCTAGTGCATTTTATGAAGGAGAACCAGGTGCAGAAGCTTTGCAGGAGCTGCAATCCTTATCCTAGTGCATTTTATGAAAGAGAACCACCCGGAGAAGCTATGCGGGAGCTGGAATCCTTATCCTAGTGCATTTTATGAAGGAGAACCACTTGCAGCAGCTTTGCCGGAGCTGGAAACCTTATCCTAGTACATGTTCTGCAGGAGAACTACCTGCAGAAGCCTTACGGATGCTGGAATCCTTATCCTAGTGCATTTTATGAAGGAGAACCACTTGGAGAAGCTTTGCGGGAGCTGGAATCCTTATCCTAGTGCATTTTATGAAGGAGAACCAGGTGCAGAAGCTTTGCAGGAGCTGGAATCCTTATCCTAGTGCATTTTATGAAGGAGAACTAGGTGCAGAAGCTTTGCAGGAGCTGGAAATCCTTATTCTGGTGCATTTATGAAGGAGAACTACCTGGACAAGCTTTGCGGGAGCTGGAATCCTTATCCTAGCGCATTTTATGAAAGAAAACCACCTGGGCAAGCCTTGCAAGAGCTGAAATCCTTATCCTAGTGCATTTTATGAAGGAGAACTACCTGGAAAAGCCTTGCAGGAGCTGAAATCCTCATCCTAGTGTATTTTATGAAGGACAACTAGCCCATTTAAGAAGGAGATCCACCTACGAAAGCTTGTCAGATTCCATTTTCTGAAGAAAACCTACATGAAAACCTCCGAACCACCTGAAAAACTTGTCCTATCACATCTTATGAAAAACGATCGCTTGAGAATGCTTATCCTAGTCCATTTTCTGAAAAAAAAAACCTACCGGGACAGCTGCCGAGCACCCACATTTGCAAATCCTTTTTCAATCTTATGAGCGAAATCCATACAACAGCTGTCAAACCCGTTAACTCCGACTGCACCAGTTGCCTTCACAACTGCCGCCAACAAGAACTGGCTCAAAACGCAACAGCAACTCGCAGTAGAAAAAGCAGGCGCCATGTCGAAAGCAGCACAGGCAACTATGGACGCCGCCAAGAGGCGACGCTTTTGCGCAACATCAATCACCTCCACGACGCCGGCCAGGTCCAACATCAACAACAGCAACGGAGACGGTTCCGAGCTGGTGGCCACCGTCAGACGCTGGGGGAGCACGTTTGGGGTCTTCGACGACGGTTCCAGGACGGAAACACTCTGGCAACTGCAAATACGCCACGGCGGGCGGCAAGCCTTCGGCTATCACCTGCTGACCATGTGCAGAGAAGCATTACAGAATCATCCGAACGAGAAGGTGCGCGACACACTCCAGCTCGAATCTGAGCTGCACATCAAGATCCTCAACGGAGCACCGCCGCAGAGCGGCCCCGCCGATCCAGACGGAGTCGGCCTTGAAGCCTGGCACCCGGTCATCTACGCCCCGACCCCAGCGGACGGCATGAACATGATACACTTCATCATGCAGCACAAAGTGAACGCCGGGCACCTACTGCAAATGCCCCAGCTGATCGCTCTCTTCCCAGACGAAGAGAACAGCACGTCGGCCCCCCCGCCTTGGGTGACACAAAAACAGCACATCCTGCAAGCGACAACCTTCAAAGCCCTGCCACCAAGAGGACGACGCCACGTGCTGCTGCAGGTGGAGCTGGCAACGGAAAACACAGAGCAGCACAGCATCGCCGCCAACCAAGAAGCGGCAACCAGCGAAGACGAGGAGAGCAGCCAGACAGGCAAAGAGCTCAACAAAAGCTACAGCATCACGATCTTCGGAGGCATCTACGGCTTTCGCGAGCTCTTCGACGCGGCCAACATCCAGGGCGGCCTCGTTCCACAGCCCGACGGAACAAAAGACGAGTACGTGCGACACCTCAAGGTTACCCCGACGGACGAAGGCCGGAGCAAGCTGACGGCGATCCTCGAGCAAGTCCTGCTGCGAATTCCTGTCTACTTGATCGATCAGACGGACCAGCAGGACGACCCATTCGTCAACTGGCTCCTCGGGCAGCCCTCGGTGTACATGGGCGAAAAATCATCGCAGTCGACCTGACACGGAAGACGGCCCTCACAGCAAAAAGTTCGAAGCAAGAGCCGCGTCCCTGAGAATGACTGCAACCCCCGAGAGAGAGACAGGTTTTGTTCTTGCTGCAATGGGCAGCTTTCCGTGAAAGGTAGGACAGACGCGCCCGACGATGCCGCCCATCGCAACAAAATCTCGGTGATGCAGCAGAGGAAAAAAAGAGGTGTGACAACATGCGGCACGACCCAAGCTTATAGTTGCGAACCAACACGGGGCTTCCTGTGCAACCACTCCGAGCCACACAGCATCTCGCAAATGTTCCCACGAAGTTCCGGCTCAAGCATTCCCCGTCCATGCCATGCACTACCCCCGATACACAACCCTTCGTCAATGGCATCAGAAGCGCTCTGACGGAAGGCTGCAATGGGGCCGTCGAAGAAATCGTCGGCAACTCCCTTTCAAGAAAACGATCAAGAAGAAGCTGGAACACATCATCAGACAACGTTGGAAAGACGAACACGAGTACACGAACGCCGCATCACTGCGGTCCTTACTGCTGCGCTTACTGACACGCGCGAAACCCACGCGTCGCCCAAAGCAACACCTCTGGCAAGATGCATGCTGGCTCCTGACCCGAAGGCCCAAAGCTCAGCAAAGATCCGGCAGTGTGCACGACGGGACAACCTAACAGCACCCAGCACCTAAAAGAGTCACTGCCGCTGTCGCGCCGAGGTGCGAAGAAAATCAAGGGGAGCAGAAGAACATTCAGAGGGAAGCAGCATGGAACCAGCTCCTGGCCCGCCTCCACCGATTATGAAGAAGTCAGAACAAAAAGGAGCGTGCCATTTCGTGCGCAACTCCCATACCAAGGAAAGCCGACAACCCGTGCATTCACACGACTCCAGAGCTCGCAACATCGCTCGGCTCAAGCAGCATCAGTAGAACCCTCCACCTAAACGCCCAGAACCCTACCGGCACTTCCAGGCATCATGGCAGGAAGGACACAGCCAACGATCGGTTCCACGAAGAGGAAGCGCTTCAGCGCTGGAGGAATCACGCTCAAGGCAGCCGCGAAGACAAACGACGCATCAATGAACGGGGACGGTTCGGAGCTGGTGGCCACGGTCAGGCGCTGGGGCACAACCTTCGGTGTTTTCGAGGACGGTTCCACAACAGAGCCGCTCTGGCAAATACAAGTCGCACACGGAGGCCGCCAAGCCTTCGGATACAACTTGCTCGCCACGTGCCGGGAAGCGTTGCAGGAGGACCCCAACAGCAACGTCCGAGACCTGCCGCAGCTGGAAGCGCACCTACACGTCAAAGTCCTCATCGGAGCCCCTCCTATGTCGGGCCCCGCAGATCCAGATGGCGTGGGCATAAGAGACTGGCAGCCCGTGCTCTACGCGCCCACACCACACGACGGGCTGAATCTGGTGAGTTTCATCGTCCGCCACAAGGTAACGACCGGGCAAATCCTCCAGCTACCCCACTTCATAGCACTGTGCCCGGAAGAGGAAGTGGCGGTGTCGGTCCCCGATCCCTGGATCGTGCACGACAGCCACCCCCTGCAGCACCAGCCGTTCCGAGCACTCCCGCCCCGAGGCCGCCGCCATGTACTGCTACAAGTAGAACTCGACCCAGCGGCCCTGCCACCGAGCGACGACGGCGACTCCATCGGAGAACAAGACGCAAAGCCCGAGTACAGCCTCATGATCTTCGGGGGCATCTATGGATACCGCGAGCTCTTCGACGCGGCCAACATCCAAGGCGGCACCGTGCCCATTCCCGACAGTGCAAAAACCGAGTACGTCCGACATCTCAAGCTCAAGTTCTCCGAGGACCAGAAGCACAAGCTCACGAATGTCCTAGAGCAGGTCCTGCTGAACGTGCCCGTCTACTTAATAGACAACACCACAACGGAGAAGGACCCTCTGATCAGTTGGCTTCTAGAACAGCCCTCCGTATACCCAGGCGAGAAGGCAAAGTAGCCAACGCGGAATTTCTAACATGCACTGCCTACAAGGATCGGTCGAAGGCCCGCAGGAACGGACACAAATCCATGTACAGAGTCCCTACCCACCGCAGCAGGCCCACGTTCCACAACCAGAACAGCCGCCCCGTCCAGCCGACACAATGGCAGAGAAGAAAAAAACAACTGCAGGCAGTTCAAGATCGCTTCGCGTGTGCCACGAGCAAGAGCAAGAACTTCACGTCGCAGCCAGAACAACACAACGGCTCAAGCCCTCCCAGAAGCACACTCCGAGCCCGCATGGCCCCGATCGACTACACACGTTGGGAGCACATCCAAGGAGACAGCAGCGAAGAAGATCAAGAAGAAGAGGAAGAAGAGGTCTTCCGGAACCCGCCTGGGTCAAGGTCTCCACGACGCGACATCGTTCGAGGGCTCTTCGCAGTCCGAGAACCACCAAAGCCCAACACCGAAGAACAACGCTATCTCCTGCGTGCAGAACAACGGGAGCTGCGCCGCTATCTCCGGAACAACCCATGCCCTTCCAAAAGGCTCATACAACAATGGCTTCTCGGTATGGCAACCACACCCATCACAGAAAGCTCCCCAATACCAAGCTTCACGTGGGTCATGGAAAGCATGGGATGGAAATACGAGCATCTCGGCTGGTTTCACTACCGCTCCCTCACAACCCTCTGGACGACCGGCACCATTCGAACAGCGGACGCCTTCGACGCACAACGCAAGACCGGCATCCAGCTCTACCGACGAGGCGGACGAGCATGCATGCAGTTCAACTACTACGTCCTCCACTACACGATGTGCGGACAGCACTTCATCCACGACCCCCCCATAGCCGCCTTCGGCTTCTGCAGCCACATCGAGAAGGTGTGGGACGGCATCGGGTCCTGGCAAGCGTGAAAGAGCACGACACGCTGACAGCACAGACCGCTAAGTCCGACCGCGACATTCGACGTGAAGCGAAAGAGAGCCGAGCAGCCCAACCCAAAAAAAAAAAAGCCACGGCGCGCAGCAGCAAGATGTCCCGACATACTCCTCCTGCAAGCCCGCACACAGTGCTTGACGTCACGACGAAGCAGCTGAATCCGCAGCCGAGCTGGCACAAACAGCAAAGACAGGTAGGCATTGCAAGACAACCATGCCAGCCACGGAAGCGACGCAAGCAGCGCCAAAGCCAATTACATGTTTAACAGCCCGAAAAGTGCGATCAGCCAAAACTGAGGACGAGCCAGGACCGGCATCTCCATCGACCGGCACAACCCTGAGCTCGCTGACGACGACCGAGCAGAGAAACCCGAAGCAGGTGCCCAAGACGACACAAGTCGCTCGCCCGCACACCATCACACATCGAGAGTCGTGAAAAAAAGAAACAAGGTTCGCTCGCAAAGAGCTCTCGCGGAGCACGCAAATATCGCCGAAGCCAATACCTTCAGCGACCCAACAGAATTTCAGCGACATCCCCCAATAGCTGTCTGACTCAGCTGAAATGCCAAGGCGGAACTACATCTGCACCGAGATCAAGCTCTCCGCATCACGCTGTACTGGCACCTCGACCCGGCACTGCAGGAACGGATCGCAGCCGAGCTCTGGTACGAATCTTGCCGGACGTGGTGGCAGGGCTGGTCCAGAAGCGGCTCACCCGCACAGTACGTGCAACAGTCCAGACTGCGGATGATCCGAAGCGCGGCCCACCACACACTGCATCCAGCCCGCATGCTATCACTGAGCACCACCTTCGCCATTCCTGCGAGCCGGCTGAGACTCCAGAGAGCACATGTGCTTCTGCTGGAAGCCTGCGCGAGCGACATGTTCGACACCATCAACACCATCGCGGCTACGCAATAAGTTGCTGATCGCAAGAACAAAGAAAGCAAGAGGATAGGAGAGAACAGACGCCCTCCTCCAAACAGCGATGCCTCGGCACAAAAAAAAAAAAAGCAATGCGGAGAGCGTGCGCAAATAGGTCACCCAAATCCAACACTGGCGCTCAGCTTGCCAGGCTCGAACATCACGCGTACCCGCAGCCGCAAAAAAAACGATCAAAACAGACAGAGTGTCGCCTAGAAGCACCCTCGCGCCACCGCGGCATGGCTCCAACGACATCGGCACCTCGGCAATCTACACGTGCCCACTCACGCTCCTGTAGTCGCGCGCGGCTTCTCGTTAGTGTAGCGCCACCAAGTGACAGCTAAGGAAGAGGGGCCCGCAACAGCTGCCACGACAACCACGACTTGCCCGGCCACTGCAGAACCCGACGCCGAGAAACAAGATCCAGATTGCCAAGCCACTCAATTGATGCCACCGGTCAAGGTCCCAGAAACTTCTCATCGCAAGCACGGTGAACCACAAAGTCACGCAAACAACCAGGCTCACGCCCGGCACGCAAAGAACAGAAACGCCACCAAGGACACGGCGGGCGAAGCACAAGAACAAGGCCAAGAGATCCTGCCGTCGACCATGACCGCAATCAAGGCAGCTTGGCAGCAACAGCACACAACAACAAGCAATTGACAAATGTCCCGGCAACACCAGGCCACCGAGCAGGGGGACTCTGAAAATGCCCAGCACGCCGACGACAAACACGAGAGCCCCACCGGCATGCCCATGCTGGGAGATCGCATCATGGTTACCAACGAAGCCTGGCTCGCTGTCATTCTCAGCGGTACAAAGAGCATGGAAGTGCGCAGAGCGCCAGTACAAACGGGGCCAACCTGGATTGGCCACGAAGGCCAAATCTATGCATCTGCAAACATCACAGAATGCAGGGAGCTGTCGGAGGAGGACTACGAAAAGAGCAGAGCGCAGCACCTACACCTAAGCAGAATGAAAACCGGAGACAGACTCTACGGCCTGCTCCTGACCGACATCGTCCAGCTAACCCCGCCAGTGGAGTACTACCGACGGCCCACACGATCAATCTGGGAGGTCTTCAAGACAGGACCAGACGACAAGCTTCCTCGCGGAAAAGCTGCCAAACGACACCTACACATGCCTGCCCTGCAAGATCACGAGACTGGCGTCGAGAACAAGGACAACTCCACCCACACCAACACTGCAGAAGAAGAAGAAGATGATAATGATGATGATCAGGATGACATTAATGATGAAAAAGGAGGAAGACCACAACGAGGCGAAGACGCGAAAGCCACACCAAACGCAAGTCACAAACGGCCGAAAGGTAAGAGACGTCGCTCTGCCATACCCGCGCTCCCAGTCTCCTTAATAAGCCCGAGCATGCCCAGCCCCAGACGCTGACATGAAACCAACAGAAACCCGCAAATAGCACGCAGTGCAATCCCGTCAAATACTCCAGCCTGACTTCGCTCCACGACCCACATCGCAGGCCTGTTCAAACGGAAAAAAAGGTGCAGCGACCGACTGCTCGCATGGCGACACATAAGAGCATGCCACTGCGGTATACCGCCAGAGAGCTGTCTCCACGCGCCAGCTACATGCGCAGCTGATTCGGCCCAAGCGAGCAGACGCCCGTCACTGCAAAAACGCACTCAGGCCAAGAAAATCCGGTGCGAACATGACTCACAAGGAACCCCGCGCACGAAGAATGCCACGAAGAACGCCATGGGCAGACGTCGAGGCATCAGTGTTAGGCACCGGGGAATATAAGATAACCCCCTGACCTGCGCTGAGGACAGCAGCCCTTCAGAGAAGGCCCGCGTGCAGCTCGTGTCTGTCCGTGCATGTGTAGCCTCATCGGCAACTTCGTCCCAACAACAACGGCCTCTGATCAAACAGAGGACAAGCCAGCCAAGACGAGGAACGACAAAGAGGACCCACTAAACCGAAAGCACGCGCAACCTTAACACAGAACCCCATACCGCCAGCAACAACCAATCACACATCACATGTCCGGCAGGAGCACCGCCCGCGGAACGACCTGGACACTTCGCAGCCAGGAAGCTACATAGCGGACCAGATGACTCGCTCCAACCACCTACAAACACACGCGCCACAGCCAGAGTCTCAGACAAAGAGAAATCGTGCAGCAATACAGACAAGCTCGTGTCCACCGCGCACGGCAGGAAAGTTGCTGCAACTTCCTCCAATAAGACTCAAAGCCAGAGCACGCCGACGCCCCACCTCGAGACGAGCAACAGCCCAATGTGGAGCCTGTGCCTCAGAACAAGGATGTCAACAGTGACTCTGAACTGCGACTTTACACACCAACTGGCCCCCCACTGGTCCGCCACAGGCCCTCCGCAAGAACTGCACGAGCACGACTACGGCTACACGCTGCAGGAAGAAGTGCACCAATTCGTCCAGGCAGTCATGCACCAAGAACTCGAACCCGAACAGCTCAAATGGTGGCAAGACACTTTGAAGGAACGCTGCCGCTACCACCGCTTCCCATGTCGAGCCTGGTTCGAGCTCGTGTACCAGTGGCACCCTCCAACAACGCCCGCGCAACCGGCACCAGACCAGGGAACTCAAAGGCCCTGGGCACAGCAAGTTGTGGAAGACGGCGTCTCGCGAGCGCAGAGCTTGCAAACTCGCACAAGTCCGACGACCTACAGCATCCCGTGCTACGTCCCCGTCCTGCTGAACTACGAGCGCAACGGTTCCCCCTCGCAAAGACCTGAAATTCGCTTTCACAGACTCTGACGATCGACGACACAAGCACAACACCCGCGCACACACACACACATACACACGCACACACACACACACACAGAGACACATACACAGACACAAGCACACACGGAGGCGCATGCAAGGCTGCAAATGCTCCACAGCAAACCTCGCAGCCGCGAATCTTCCTGACGACACACGTCACACACGTCAACCAGCTGGAAGCAGACGCGGAAAAAAAGTGCTCGTGCTCAGAGAAATGTATAAGAAACACCAACAAGCGCCACTAAAAGCATGCCCTGCAGAACAGCAAAAGCACGACCGGTCAAATGCAGGCTCCAAAGATTCCAGCATGGTCCGCATGGTCTACGACAGCAAGACACGACAAGCCCAACCAACCCTATTAAGTTCGTTCAGCCACCAGCCGGAAAATCACAGACGCCCACCAGCAGCAAGGCCAACACAGAATAGGAGCCAGCGGACATGGACTTGCTGCGATGCTTGGAAGACGACAGCAGCGGCCAGCTTCGAGGCATGCTTTTCCGCGGCGACTTGCTGCCCATCCTCCAGCTCTGCAAAGCCTCGCTGCATTCACGTGCACTGTGGACAGACGACCTCAAGCGAGATGTCGCCCGCCTACGAGAAGTCCTGCATCCCCTCCAAACAACCCACCTGCGCATTCCGGGTTTCCACACCGCGCACAACATCAAGGTACTGCACAGGCACCAGAACACAGCAGGACCGGTCACGCCACCGCGACAGACAGAGATCCTGCGACGTTGGATGACTCACAACGAGCTGGGAGACCTGCTCAGTCCAAGTGACGCCATTCTTGTGCTGAACGCGTGGCCCCGAACAACACGCGACATCGGCGCAGCCCTAAGCGACTTCCTGACGGAGACGAACGCTTGCTTCGAGTACAAGTTCATACGACCAACGGCCAGTTCCCCAAGCAGACCAACACTCCGGATCCACTTCCTGTACCGCGGGATCGCAGGGACTTTGGTCGCAACCCCAGCGGTACAGCAACAACAGGTCGCGCAGCCACAACGCCACCCTCTGCAGGCAACAAATGGATCGCAACATGCTTACCGAAAGCCATCCACAGATCCAGGTTCACCTCGCCACCAGCCGCCGCCCGACACGAACCACACGTGTCGGGCTTTTCTACAGCAACAGAAGCACGACGGTGCCGGGCCTTTCGGAAGCATGCTAGCTCGACAGGAACTGCTTCCCCTGCTAAAGACCTGCAGGACCATACAGCGTTCCAAAAAGCCGTGGATCACAACCCTCAAAGACGACGTCGCCCATCTCCATAAAGTGTTAGCCCCTCTGAACACAAAGCCACTACGCCTGCCAGGCTTCGACGGCCCACCCGCCATCAGCGTCCTGTCACGTCCCCCCACAGAGCAACAACAACCGTCCGTCACCACACCCAACCCAGACCACCTCCTCCTTTGGATGGTGCGCAAGAAACTCGCAGGCTACACTCCCAGCGAAGCTATCCTGATCATGAATGCCTGGCCAGCAACGACGCGCCGAGCAGGTGCGGCACTGAGCGACTTTCTGACGGAGACACATGCCACGATGGAATACACTGCCGGAAGCCCACGAAGCCGCTTGCCAGCCACGACAAAGCTGGTCATAACATTCATCTACCGCGACATCACCGGGACCCTGATCGCGGAGTAAACCCACCGAGCAACGCAAACGGTCTCACTCGAAAACCCTCGCAAAGAACCGTCTAGCAGGAAAAAGCAAAGAAGACAGGGCACCGCCACTAAAGTAGCGATCCTAGACCCTATAGACACCCGAAATGCAGTGCGGACAACCAGCCAGGCCAGCCCCATCTCGCACTCTCTGCAAGCCTCGCCTTCATCTGGAACATGCGGCAGGCTCGAGCAACCAGACAAAGCTAGAGTTCGCGCCCCCCGAACCACTCACCTCAACAGCTCAGCCATGGAGAAACAACGCCCCAAGGAGCCCACGCAAGCGCTAGTGGTGAAGCGGACCTGGGTCACCCGCATCCTCAAAGCAAACAAGACATGGGAACTCCGAGGAACCAGCCTGAAAAAACGAGGACGATTCGCGTTGGCCGTCAGCAAAATCAGTCTGCTGGCGGGGGAAATCACGTTCGTCGACTCCTTCCCCGTGGGCATCCGGCGAGATGGCAAATGGCAGCCTTTCAGCAATAGCACCGAAGATCAGGAACGCTTTCTGCTTCGGCCAGAGAACCTGCAGAAACACCAAGTCGACCCAAACAGCATCTCCTACCACATCGTGTACGCCTGGGTTATGACGGCTCCGCAAACCTACAACCCCGAGCGGCCGTACACCCCGCAGCCAGGACCATTGTGGCAGTCTCTACGACCAACAACAGAAACCAGCACCGAGAAAACCGAGCCCATCAAGACAGCCAGTCGAAGACCGCAGCATGGAAGCGTGAACACACCCGACCCACGGCACCGACAACGCAGCAGATCCCCGCGCGGAACATGACGGACAAGAAGCAAGAGGCGCGGTACAAGCGACACCGAATGACGCACGAGCACCCATCCTCGCAGAAAAAATAGAAAAAGAACCGCTCCCGACGCCGCAGTGCAACATGCAGCTGCGCCCGAAGGTGAAGATCGAACGGGCTCAAACGACAGCCGACCCGGATGCGAGTATAACACGCAAGCAGACACAGGGACAACCCGGCCTAAAGGNNCCCCCCCCCCAAAAAAAAAAAGCACAGCAACCACGACCAGTCAACTAGAAGAGTAGACTCGTGCGCCAACACCACAGCCTGATAGCAGCCCCGGCAGCGCTCCCATGCATCAAAGCGGTCAGCGCCATAACCGATCCGACGCAAACGTGGAACACTGCCACGCAAATCTCGACGACGAGGAGCGCAAAATAACCCTCTACACCGAAGGCCTCGACCACCTCCTGCCGCTGAGCCTAACCAGAAGCCCACAGCCACCCACGCACTTTCCAGCACGCGGACAAGGGCCTCTACCAGCCAAGTTACCAGAGAACTTTGTCAACGACAGGCTGCAGTACGTCAACGGCCACGAACGGGACAAGCACCTGCTCTTCGACCACACGATGCACTCCTACTTCTGGAAGAACACGCGCGTGAGGGAATCGGTAACCCAGCTCATCCACAGACACGCCGAAGGGTTCGATGCAGACCAGACCCTCAAACACATGTCTCAGGGAGATCGCTGGCCCCGACCCGGCTACCTCAGGGCAACAATGGAACCCGACATCGTGGACAAGATCGGCCGACTGCCCGCGGGACCCCGCATCCTTGCCTCGTTCCAGCAAGCAAACCGAAACGAAGAGGAGCTATGCCAGCAGGTGCGTGCGGCCGTGCAGCAGGGCAGCCCGCAAGATGTCACGACCCTGCAAAGCATCGCAATGTCCAGCAGCGAAATCAAAATGAAATGGACGACCGCCCGTGACGAGGCGGCCCAGGAAGGGACCTGGATGCACGCACAGTTCGAGTGCCTGCTGAACGGGGGATCCGTCCAAGAAATGACGCCTGAGATAGCATTGCTCTTCAAGTTCCTGGGCACCTTGCAGGAAGCCACGGCCTACAGAACAGAGTGGAAAATCTACGCCGATGACATGGATGTAGCCGGCAGCATCGACTTCGTCGTCCAACAAGCCGACGGATGCCTGGTCCTCGTGGATTGGAAGCGAAGCAGCAGAATAGCAAGCCGCGGAGACCATTTCAACCGCTTCATGAGGCCGCCTCTAACCCACCTGCCAGACAGCACCCTGGCCCACTACCACCTGCAGCTCAACATCTATCGATGGATTCTCCAACGCCACTACCACCAAGTCGTCACGGAGATGTACATCGTGGGCACGCACCCCGACAACGGCCAGGAACCTTGGGTGCAGCAGGTGGACATCTTAGACCACGAGACCGCGAAGCTCGTCGGAGAAGCAACCAAGGCATGTAAGGAAGCGAGGACACCCGGGCCTCTTCAGCAATGAACGGACGCCGACTCTCGCCGAAGCTCAAGCAAGGGAGAAAAGCGGCAGCTAGAACATGTGCACACAGCCAGGGCGCTCTGCATGAAGCTGTAACCACATGCCCACCTCTCCAGCAAAGAACCGCACGCACACGCCCCGGAACCCCAACCATCTGCCAGTGAGGCATCCATCGCCTGGGCTCGAGAAAATAACAAGGAGATCACTGAATGAACGGCAATGACCGGACAGACCTAAACCTGACATGCCCGAGACGTCAAGGAAACGAAAGGGCGAAGAGCTCCTGCGCATCTTCAATATGGCAGGCGAAGAGCTGCTAGAAATCACCCTCAAGGAGCCTCAAACCGCAAGCGCCGTCAAAAGACAAGTGCAGACACGGACGGGCCTGCCACGCTTCCGGCAGAGACTGCTCGGACACAATGGCCCCCTCGGCGATGCGGACATGGTCAGTGCCCCAGCAGACTTACAGCTGGTCAAGCTTGACTACGCCCCGACCAACCGCCAGGACACGGTGCAGATGATCGCCGCCGCACGCAGCCCCACACCAGCCAGACTGGAGCAACTCCTCAGCCGCCCACTAGATCCAAACTGCGCCCGAGCCACGTTCTTCTCGACAACGACTCCCCTCGAGGCAGCCACGAAAGGGAGAAGAAGCGAGAACATCAAGCTCCTGCTGGAAGCTCGAGTCAACGCCAACACCGACGAAGACCACGGCCTGCTGTTGCGAGCAGCACAGCGACAGGACCAAACGGCCGTACAGCTCCTGATCGCAGCCCAGTGTAACCTGGAGACACGCAACCACCACGGCACCACGGCCCTCGCAGCAGCAGCACGCAAGAGCAACGTCCACATCGTGCAGATGCTTCTGCAGGCAAGGGCGGACATGGAGGCCGCGAACAACAACCGACGCCGGCCACTCGCACTAGCCGCGTGGGGTGGCGAACCAGCAATCGTGCTGACCCTGCTGGCAGCACGCTGCAACCCGCTGGTCGCAGAGCCACGTCACCCCGATGCGATTCCTGCGTCCACAGCAAAGGACATCTTCCTGAGTGCATGCCTCCGAGCAAGCAGCACAGCCATGCGCGAAGCATTGCTCGCGGGGTCGAGGTCGCTCATCGACAAGCCGAACCTGGAGACGCGCGAGCCCACAGAACCGGCAGCTACACGGCCACGTCCATCAGCTGATGCCATCGACCGGCGCTAAACAGAACCATGCGGAAAAAAAGAGACGCCAAAGCAGTGCCAACGAAACACGCATGTGTCAAGCCGCAATAAAAAAACGGCCTATACAGTCCACTTGCATCTCGATGGCTGCCGCGCTAGGCTCAAAGGACTCTCTCCCAAAGTCCCGCGAAAGGCAAAATCGGCCACACACTTCTACCAACCGGCCATGCTCCGCGTGCGCAGCTGCAGCGGTCAAGTACTCTGCACCATCGATCCCGCTGCACGCAAGAACAAAGACGCGCTCGTCCTGGATGACCTGACACTCACCATAGGCAGCCAGCTACACGTGCCCGCGCACCGAATCAGCATTCACGCTGCTGATGGGCACAAGCCGCCGAGCCCCACAATGACGTGGGCTGACTGCCAACAACCCTCTGTGACAGAAGACCAGGAGCTGCTGGCAGTCGTCCGGCATTTCCGAGACGGAGGAGCGCCCGAACTGTCCCTGGCCATAGAGAAGCAGCAGCACGAAGAAGTCTGCAGCCTCCTGGAAAGTCTCGTGGACCCCAACATCGCGATCAGCCACGACAAAAGCTACGGACCGTGCAGTCCCCTGTGCATCACCGCGTACACCAATTTTGGAGAGCCTTCCCTGGCGCAGGCACTCATCGCGGCGCACGCCAACCTGGACGGCAAGCATGTCGCCATAAGTCCCCTGACGGCAGCTTGCGAAGCTCGAAACATGCGGATGGTCAACTTCCTTCTTGAAGCCGACGCAGACGTAAACCGACCAACATGGTTCATGGACACCCCTCTGCTTATAGCTGTGTCAATGGATTCGGCACCGCTGGTCCGCCTCCTGATACGACACCGGGCGAACATTCGTCAACAAGACCGCTGGCAACGCGGTCCCATCGAGCGGGCCTTCCAGCACAGGGCGCCCCATGCGGCCGCGTGCCTCGTGCTTGCAAGTGCACAAGTCCAGCCGTACACGGACACCAACTGCCTGCTGCACGTGGCCGCAAGCAGAGGCAGCATCACGTGGATCAAGCTACTTCTGCGAGCCGGCGCCGACCCTCAAGGCAAAGACGCAAACGGTCGCTCTCCCGCGAACGTGCTTCCACGCTTGCCAACCTTTCAGCAGCGCCAACAGCTGAGGCGCATCCTGTGCCCAACAAGCCCCGCGCCCACTCGCAACACATCCACAAAGTCCTGAAAGTAAGAAAGGCTCCTCGACGAGCACAAAAGATACCATGTACAGCACTCCCAAACAGGCAGCTGCAAGTTCGATGCGAGCCAAAAAAGAAAGTATCGCGCAGCGACGAGTGCCTCGATTCGTGCAGCTGTACTGCTGCAACGACATGAACCAAAACCAAGCAAAAAGAGAACAGCAAAGCAGCAAAACAGACAATAACAAAACAACACAGCAAGCCAAAAAGGCAACACCGAACACCCAAGTGCACGCACCCGGCAAGCACATAACGTGCGAACAAAGAACGACCAAAACACGGAACACCTTTCCATGATCCCAAAGCCTCTGCCAACACAGAAAATCCTGCCGGAAAGGAGCTGCAAGCAAAACCAAGCCACCGGCAAAAGACGGAATCTCCAACACAACCAACAACAGCAGCAGCAGCAACAAAAGCAGCGAGGAGCTGAAGCCACAATAGTCTCGAACTGTCCAGCACGACAACTCCGGCAAGAAAGGGTGAAGCGTGTTCGGCCAAGACCACATGTCTGCACAATTAACATTAGAGAACCACGCCCGCACTCAATCTCCGCGAAGCTAGCCATTTCGAGGCTCTCACAGACGAAGCGCCCCGACGGATCCCCAAGCCAAGAAGTTGCGCCACATGATGGAAAGACGCCTCCTCCGCAAGCGAGATCCTTCCCCAGATCACGAGGATGCGCCCAAGAAAACAAGACAGTGCACAGAGAGAGGAATCTACGTGAAGGAGACGATCCTGTTCGACGGCATACTCCTCCATCACCTGTCACCTTGGTCCCCTTTCAGTCTGAGAACCTTGAGGACGCTCCAGCCACCTCGACGACAAGACGCACGGTCACTCTTACAGCTGGGTGCCACCTGCAAGGCGGCTGCTCGGCGCTTCCACTCGGCCGGGCTGCAAGCACTGATATACCATCTTCGCGAAGACAACCGATGCCTCACGATGCTTGCCACACACCTAGAAAAGACGCTGGTCTACGTGCTGCAGATGACGGCGAGAAGCCTAGCAGCCTGGCCCCAGCTAGAAGACCAAGCCTGACCGCCCCACACCCCCCCCCCCCATCGCCCCCAAAGAAAGAACGACAATAATACAAAGCATGCCAAGCCGCCACACGAAAACAAACCCCCATCCGAACATCACGATGCAGCTGTACAGAGCGAACGACTTCTCAACACGTGCACAGCGAGAAAAAAGAATTCCGATGCTCGCTTAAACAGTGTGCATGAAAAACCGAAGCCGCAGCTCAGAAGACATGACCGTCCATGTGTGACAGTCGCGCACGTTCACCAGAAATTGCCGCGCAATCCTCAAGCCGAGAAGCAGTTCCGGAACACAAATCCACGGGCGGCTACACGGAGCGCACGCCACATGTACAGCACGTCCCCAGCGAAGTCAACGAAGAGGGTGTTTGTCCGCAGGGTCGCAGCTCAAGACCAGGCAATTCCCCCGGTCCGGTCCCCGACAGAACGACATGGGACGCATGGTGCAACAAAGAGCCAAGAGCGGCACAACGACAACCAGCCTGCGCATCTACACCTTGTCCGGAGCGGAGCTGCGCGACCTGCCGGAAATACCCGACCGTGCAACCGCTGGCCACCTCAAGACGCAGTTGCAGATCACGCACGGAATCCCACGATTCCGAGTGAAGCTTTTCAGCGGCACCGACAGCCTTCAAGACCAGCATGAAATAGCCCTTCCAGCACAACTCCACCTCGTTCTGCTCAGCTACATTCCCGCCACGCACGAGAACGTCCTCGAACTGATCCAAG